TGGTCAACATGGCTCGTAACGTTTTGAATATTAAATTTAGTACTACGGGATACTAAGTGAAGTCTTGTGGGCCTACATTGGTTAGAGAGTGAGTTAAATTTATGTGATATGGTTAATACCTTGATTTCTTACATTAATATCGTTTGTGAATATGAAATGGTTATATAAATGTGATTATATATATATATATATATATATATATATATATATATATAGCCATGAAATGATCAAATTTGATTTATGGTGGTTATTAGAATATTAATTAACCATGATTTTATTTTGGGCCTATCATCGTGATTAATAGTAGTAAATTAAACAAGAGTTTAAATTGGGCCTATCATCGGAATTATTTCCCGAAAATAAATATTTTGGGGGCAGGGCGTTACAATAATGGGTTTTTTTTTTAGATTATATATAATGCAATTGATCTGAGTTTAGTTTTTGAGGGGTGGTTATGTTTTCTTGAAATATGGTGTTGGTCATGTTTTCTTTCTGTTGACATGAGTATTCTTTAAGTCAAGGTTCTAAAAGACGCTAAGCACTACTCGAGTGGCGGGCTAGGGCCTAGCGCCTAGGCGGGGTCTAGGCGGGTGCATATAATGTGTGTTCATTTAAGTATTCAACAAGTCTCTTACAATTTATTGAAAAAAAAAATTAAAATACAAAATGAAAGTTATCTATTTTCTGTCTAAGTGAGTCGCAACCTAGGCGGGTCTTGGTGGGCTAGGCAGGTGCCTAGGCGGGCCCCTTAGTAGGTCTAGGTGCCATTTCTTAATTTTCAAATGCCTAGTCATTAATTGGGGCCGTGACCAACCGCCTAATGCTTAGGCGAGGATTTTTAGAATAGTGCTTTAAGTGCAAAGTTTCAAACAAGTACATGGATGTCTAGCAACTAAAATGACTCTAAGAACAAAAATGTAATCTTTATTTTGGTTACTATAATAATTTTATTGCTCGGAATTTTTCTATTGATTGAATAAAACTCATAGGTTTGAATTAGATTTGTCAAAAATGAAATTGAGATTTGTCTAGTGCATAGGTTAGTGGTAAATAGATGTGTATAAAATAAAATGTTTGAAATACCCATGAATTTAACAGTTCTTTAACAAATGGGGTGAAATGAGACCAAAAGAGTTGAAACTGTTAATTTCAGAGGGCAAAAAGAGACAAAACTAGTTTCAGGGGGTAAATTGAAATTAAATGACAGTTTCAAACGATATTTCAACTAATAAATCTAACATTAAATTAGGAAAATGATTTTTTTTTAAATAAAATTATAAAGAATAAAATGGGCATGAAACAAAATGACAAATGAGAACCTAGCCATTAGTTGACCGTGCCATCTTACTATGCACTGTAAGTTTTTTAACATGGAAAGATAGTCAAATGATGTGTGAGAGTTTTTTTAACATCTAAATAAATAAATACTTTGCAAATTACAACTTTTTTGTTTGTTACCAGGGTAGGAGAGATTTTCTAGAAGAAAGGTTAAACGTGACCTATACTATTTCTTAAAAACCCCAGTAATGGAAATGCACGCAATAATACTATTTAGATTAAAGGTTAAGTGAGAAAGAATAAACACGAGATTGTGTCCATGCATTGTTTTGAAATTTCCTTACCACATGGACAACCCCACACGCTAATTGCTTTATGTTTAGAAGTTTTGAACGCCATGATATGCATGCTAATTATATATGCCCCACCAGTTAAGAGCTCGATTTTGTTTACGCGTTAAGTTTGACTAATCCATATGTAAATGTTAATATAATATAGTTTTGGAAATTAAGATCACGAAAGAACTCTTGAGAGTAGAAAAATATACAACCGCAACACGTTTGATATCTAAAACCGGGGGCGTGAATGGAAGATGCCAGCGGAATGATGGGCCAGACAGAGGCTGGGGCTGTTTCCTAATTTATAATGTAAAGCCTGCATATTATGGAATATTGTCGTACTCTTACTACTTCGGGTAATTGACTTGCTTTTCAACTTTCAACTCTTAGAATGTTGATCATAATGTGTTATTTTTAGTGATGGATGGATTTTGTCCTTGTTATATATGGCTAGTTGTTGTAGATTTTGTATTGCCTTTTTATTACGTTCTTTCGTATATAATTTTTGTCCTCTTGAGTAGTATTTTTCTATTTGGTTAGATGTGATTAGGTTGGGTAAATTTGGTATTGTCTTCTATTACGATCATGGAAGTATATTCCTGACCAATGATGTTCCTCCTTCTATTTGATTAATGAATTTTTTTACTACCTTAATAAAAGTCTTCTTAGGATATTAATCATAATGTGTTGTAGTCCAATCGAAAGGTGATTAGGGTGGTCTAATGGTAGAGGTTTGACGATTAAATTTTATTTAAAATGTAGCAAATTAGACCACTTAATACTACGGTCGGGTGGTATTCATCTTCACTTATAAATGAGAGATCTTAGGTTCAATTATCGCCAAAGACGAATTTGAACCACATTATTAATGTACTCATTGTGAATCTTAGCCTACTTATCACCTCCTTAATGTAAATAATATCGTTTATTTAAAAAAAATGAGCAAATTAGCAATCATACTTTGTAAAAAGTTGGCAAAATTTGAACCAGAATGACTAGGGGTGATACGCACGCACACAATATAAAACTTCAGTCCTAAAAAGAACACCATTATATGTAGTTGAATTTGGACTAGTGTTTACTTTCATGATTTACATCTCTTGGCTAGTATTTGGCAATTACTTACGTGATAAATCAATTGGCTAGTATTTGGACTAATATTAGATTATATGACAGAACACCATTATCTGTAGTGTTTTTTTTTAATACATCGATATTTTACATTAAGAGGAGGGGGAGTTCGGTAAAGCCATACAATAGGTAGCCTAAGTTGGCATCGAATTCGTTATCCATGAAATTTGAACCTAAGAACTTTCATATATATATATATATGTGTGTGTGTCTATATATATATATATATATATATAACTGTTCAAACGGATTTGAAGTGTGAAAGTCTTACTTTTGCTCGAAAATCAGCGTGGTATTCTAAAATAAATAGAGTTGAAGTCATTTAAAACTAGGGAAAACTAACCAAAAGCCCCTAAAAAGTTTTCAAAAATATCGAGGCTACCCTTCAAACATCTGTACAAAATTGGCCAAGTATTCAGTAAAGTTCACGTGGTCTTCACCAAATGATACATCCAAATGAAGAAAAAGAAGGACTGACACTTTCAAAAAACATTTGAATGCAAAAGTTAAGGTGGCAAACATTGTAGCAGCTAAGACAACATGGATTCACATGACCTTCATTGAAGCAAAGACAAGTCAGCCAGCTTTCAAAAACGGTGCTTACAGCTTTTAAAAACAATGTGTTGTCACTATTCAAAAAGTTGTAAATAGATGAAAAGTTATTTTGTTGTTTAGGAATTAGGTTTTGTATATAAGGGAGCTTTTTCTCCCATGCAGAACACACGAAACAACACAGTAGAGACACACCATACTCACACCATCCTTCAATCCTCATACACTCAAGCATCCAAAACCTTCCTAGCATCCTTTGTAAACACTTCTGTGTAAACATTTCTCTTTGTAAAAATTCTATATATCAATAAAAGTTCAAGTGTACATATTCAAGTAATCGCCAAGTCTTAAGTAAGTTTTCCTTTCTTTCCTTAGTGTGTTTATTTAATTAGACTTCTAGTCCAAAACAGGGAAATACTATTGTAGTTATATTATTAACCTGCTAAACTAACGATCATACTTTGTTCGAGCACTCTGTTATAGTTGAATGCTTGCCATATAAATAACTAGACATTAACCAGGGTACCTCTGAGTTCTTCATACCTCTGAGTTCAGCCGTTAAGACCTTATACTTGCACTGTGAGTGGCTGTCATGCTGAAACATGTCGAGTTCCATGCGCAAGGTTTTATGTCTAATTGTTATAATGGCCATCCAACTATTTAACAAACTTGCCTTACAAATTTGGTATCAGAGCCTAGTTTAGCATTTTAATAGTATAATTTTAATAGTAAAATACCTTAAGGACGGAAGTCATTGATACAACTAATATCACAATTGTTTATTTTGTATGAACAATAGATATTATTGTCCTTCTAGACCTTGTCAACCATAACCACCAGGTATTTATTGTCCCAGACACCCAACTATAATTAGCATAAAGAGAAGATTAGCATATATATCCAAAAGAATAATTAGCAGGACCTTGAAGAAGCAGAAGTTTTATCTTGGTTATCTTGAACATCCTTCATTTATTCGTAAATATAATAACACAGAAGTGCAGCATAAAATTTTAGAAGCAAAAAGAGCAACATATCAAGTTTTAGAGACCTTGAGAGAAGAAAGAGAGTTTCTAAGAAAGCCGTAACTCTAAAGAAAGGTAGACTGTAGTTTATGATAAATTATCTTAATTTAGAAATTAGTGAACCTCAAAAAAGAAAATTAACTATAGACCAAAATAGTTTAGTTTGGAGTAAATCTCAGTTTACTACCCTCAAGTTTCGTGGTTTTCAACATTTGGTACATGAAGTTTTTTTCGTCCTAGAGTCATACCTAAAGTGTTAATTTTAAGACAGTTTCATATATTTGTTAGTTTGGTTGTTAAGTCTCCAGTTAAATGATGACGTGGTGCCCATGTGGACAATGACTGAGCGCCACGTGTCATTAAGAGGTCCACGTGGAAATTAAAAATTAAAAAAAATAATTATTTATAGAAAAGTCAACAAAAAAAAAAAAAAAAAAAAAAAAACTCAAATCCCCTATTCTTCCCCAATCCCCACCCTTCGTCTTCCCTAATCCTCACACGTGCCCACCCTCAGACCCCCCATCACCCACCCCTTCTCCCACCCCCAACACTCTTTCCCTCGCACCACTTCTACCTGGACTCCAGCGACTCCTCCCTTCACTCCCATGAAATCGACTACGACACCCCCTCATTAGACGACCAACCCTTATTCACAACCTTCACCTACAAAGTCAAGTTCATGTGTAGCTACGACGACAAAATCCAGCCCCACCCCCATGACCTCCAGCTCGCCTATATCAGTTGTGACACCAAAATCCTCGCCGTCAATCGCAATATCAAGCTTTCCGCTTTCATCTCCAAGCTCTCCCCCTTCTATGACACCCCTAACAATGCCGTTTGCTTCAAGTACCAGCTTCCCAGCGAAGATCTCGATGCTCTCATCTCTATCACCAATGACGAAGACCTCGACCACATGATGGTTGAGTACGAGCGCTAGTGGTTCGTCAACGCTTTGAATTCGGTTCAGATCTGGTCTTCTTATGGATCTTCTCCGACAGCTCTGATCATGGCCTCACCGACAAACCCCGATTTCCTGTTCGGATTCGATAAGGGATACACGGCTGTGCTGGTTTCGAAATTTCCCGACTCGGTCACTCCGCCGACTGTTCCCGATTTGCTTGTGAAAATCACTCTGGTTGGATCGGGATCGCCACATCGAAGAACCGGTGATGTCTCAGGCACAGTAGGCTGCAGCTTATAGTGAAGGGTTTGCTGAGATGCGGTGGGTGATGGGGAGGTCGGAAGGTGGGCACGGGCAGGGATTAGGAAGTTGAAGAGGATTTGGGGTGTTTTGTTTTTTGTTTTTAATTATTTTTCTTTAAATAATTTTTTTAAAATTTTTAATTTCCACGTGAACCGTAATGACACGTGGCACCCATTCATTGTCCACATAGGCGCCACATCATCTGTTAACGGCAGACTTAACAATTTGACCAACGGATGTATGAGACTATCCCAAAATTAACACTTTAGATATGACTCTGGGATGAAAGAAACTTCGTGTACCAAATGTTGAAAACCACGAAACTTGAGGGTATTAAACTGAGATTTACCCAAAAAAAAAAAAACGAATTTGGGCAGATTCGGAGGAAGAAGAAGAAGAAGAAGAAGAAGGAATAAGGAGGAAGGAGAAGGAAGCAGGAAAAAAAAAGAATTCCCCAGATTCGGAGGAAGAAAAAGGAGAAGGAGAAGGAGAAGGAAGAAGAAGGAAGAAGGAGAAGAAGGGGAAGTAAGAAGGAGGAAGGAAGAAGGAGAAGGAGGAAGAAAAAAAAAAGTTTGCAGTCGGGTGGAAGAAGAAGAAGAAGAAGAAGAAGAAGAAAGAAGAAAGAAGAAGAAGAAAGAGAAAAAAAAAATCCCCAGATTCGGAGGAAGAAAAAGGAGAAGGAAGAAGAAGGAAGAAGGAGAAGAAGGGGAAGGAAGAAGGAGGAAGGAAGAAGGAAAAGGAGGAAGAAAAAAAAAAGTTTGCAGTTGGGTGGAAGAAGAAGAAGAAGAAAGAAGAAAGAAGAAGAAGAAAGAGAAAAAAAAAATTCCCCAGATTCGGAGGAAGAAAAAGGAGAAGGAGAAGGAGAAGGAAGAAGAAGGAAGAAGGAGAAGAAGGGGAAGGAAGAAGGAGGAAGAAAGAAGGAGAAGGAGGAAGAAAAAAAAAAGTTTGCAGTTGGGTGGAAGAAGAAGAAGAAGAAGAAGAAGAAAGAAAGCAAAGAAAAAAAAAAAAAAAAAAAACGTGTCACAAAAAAAAAAACGTGGCTGACACGTGGCGCCACGTCATTGTCCACATGGGCGCCACATCACAATTAACGGCAAATTTAACAGTTTGACTAACGGATGTATGAGATTGTCCCAAAATTTACACTTTAGGTATGACTCTGAGACGAAAAAAATTTGATGTACTAAATGTTGAAAACCATGAAACATGAGGGTAGTAAACAGTCTTTTACCTTTTTTTTTTCCTTCTTTCTTCTTCTTCCTCCTTCTTCCTTCTTCCTTCTTCCTTCTTCCTTCCCCTTCTTCTCCTTCTCCTTCTTTTTCTTCTTCTTCTTCTTCTTCCTCCGAATCTGGGGAAGTCTTTTTTTTTTTTTTTTCTTCTTCTTCCTCCTTCTTCCTTCTTCCTTCTTCCTTCCTTCTTCTTCCTTCTTCTTCTTCTTCTTCTTCTTCTTCTTCTTCTTCTTCCGAATCTGCCCAGATTCAGCTTTTTTTTTTCTTCTTTCTTCTTCTTCCTCCGACTGCAACTTTTCTTCTTCTTCTTCCGACTGCAACTTTTCTTCTTCTTCCTCCTTCTTCCTTCTTCTTCTTCTTCTTCTTCTTCTTCTTCCTTCTTCCTTCCTCCTTCCTCTTCATTTTCCTCAAAAAAAAAAAAAAAAAAAAAAAAACCGAATCTGGGCAGATTCGGAGGAAGAAGAAGAAGAAGAAGAAGAGGAAGGAAGAAGGAGGAAGAAAAAAAAAACTTCCCCAGATTCGGAGGAAGAGAAGGAAGAAGGAGAAGAAGGGGAAGGAAGGAGAAGGAGGAAGGAAAAAAAAATGTTGCAGTCGGGTGGAAGAAGAAGAAGAAGAAGAAGAAGAAAAGAAGAAAGAAAAAAAAAAAAAACGTGGCTGACACGTGGCGCCCAGTCATTGTCCACATGGGCGCCACGTCACAATTAACGGCAAATTTAACAGTTTGACTAACGGATGTATGAGATTGTCCCAAAATTTACACTTTAGGTATGACTCTGAGACGAAAAAAACTTGATGTACTAAATGTTGAAAACCATGAAACATGAGGGTAGTAAACAGTCTTTTACTCTTTAGATTATATTACATCTCAGTTAAAAGATAATAATAAAATATTCAAAGGTTTCCTAGCAAAAGAGAGACAAAAGAGCTTATTGACCTCATAGATAGTAAGCCTAACCAAGTAGAACTTAGATCACTAGAAATAGTTGAGTAGTTAAAATTAGAAATTCAAAAAATTCAATTAGTGCAAAAGGAGTTGAGTGAAGAAGTAGATAAGCTGTATAATAAAATAGATAAATTATTAGTTTAATGACCGATTCTAGAACTAGCAGAAAATATATCTAAGCTTTGAAAGAAATTAGTAAGCTACATAAAGAACCAGTAGGTTAACAGATTTTTCAATACAAGTAGCCAGTAGTAATATTCCCATTAGGCAAAATAAAGAAGAAGCACAAGAATTTATAAGAAGAGGTTTTGAGAGAACACAAAAAAATAAATATAATTTGTATCAATTAGGTTTATTTGAAAATAGAAGCAAAATTGTAAGTAGCATCAGTCAACATGAAGTTAGTTGTATTGATAAAGAAGTTACACTTAATTTAATTAGTAAAGAAGTAGTTACTCATTTGAGAAAATCACATTTTAGTCAGATTCATATATGAACAATATTAATTGGAACAACAAGATTAACCAGAGCACAAGTAGGCACAAAAGCATTAGCATACATATATGATGATAGATGGGATAATCACCAACAAGCAGCAATAACAACTGCTGAAGTAGATTTAAGTTCAAACTTAGCAGTCATAGGATGTATTCCAAATTATGTTATGACAATAAATGAATTTAGTAAATATATTAAAGTAAGCATAAGAACAAAAGAGTCTTTTACTCTTTAGATTATATTACATCTCAGTTAAAAGATAATAATAAAATATTCAAAGGTTTCCTAGCAAAAGAGAGACAAAAGAGCTTATTGACCTCATAGATAGTAAGCCTAACCAAGTAGAACTTAGATCACTAGAAATAGTTGAGTAGTTAAAATTAGAAGTTCAAAAAATTCAATTAGTGCAAAAGGAGTTGAGTGAAGAAGTAGATAAGCTGTATAATAAAATAGATAAATTATTAGTTTAATGACCGATTCTAGAACTAGCAGAAAATATATCTAAGCTTTGAAAGAAATTAGTAAGCTACATAAAGAACCAGTAGGTTAACAGATTTTTCAATACAAGTAGCCAGTAGTAATATTCCCATTAGGCAAAATAAAAGAAGAAGCACAAGAATTTATAAGAAGAGGTTTTGAGAGAACACAAAAAAATAAATATAATTTGTATCAATTAGGTTTATTTGAAAATAGAAAGCAGAATTGTAAGTAGCATCAGTCAACATGAAGTTAGTTGTATTGATAAAGAAGTTACACTTAATTTAATTAGTAAAGAAGTAGTTACTCATTTGAGAAAATCACATTTTAGTCAGATTCATATATGAACAATATTAATTGGAACAACAAGATTAACCAGAGCACAAGTAGGCACAAAAGCATTAGCATACATATATGATGATAGATGGGATAATCACCAACAAGCAGCAATAACAACTGCTGAAGTAGATTTAAGTTCAAACTTAGCAGTCATAGGATGTATTCCAAATTATGTTATGACAATAAATGAATTTAGTAAATATATTAAAGTAAGCATAAGAACAAAAGAGTCTTTTACTCTTTAGATTATATTACATCTCAGTTAAAAGATAATAATAAAATATTCAAAGGTTTCCTAGCAAAAGAGAGACAAAAGAGCTTATTGACCTCATAGATAGTAAGCCTAACCAAGTAGAACTTAGATCACTAGAAATAGTTGAGTAGTTAAAATTAGAAGTTCAAAAAATTCAATTAGTGCAAAAGGAGTTGAGTGAAGAAGTAGATAAGCTGTATAATAAAATAGATAAATTATTAGTTTAATGACCGATTCTAGAACTAGCAGAAAATATATCTAAGCTTTGAAAGAAATTAGTAAGCTACATAAAGAACCAGTAGGTTAACAGATTTTTCAATACAAGTAGCCAGTAGTAATATTCCCATTAGGCAAAATAAAGAAGAAGCACAAGAATTTATAAGAAGAGGTTTTGAGAGAACACAAAAAAATAAATATAATTTGTATCAATTAGGTTTATTTGAAAATAGAAGCAGAATTGTAAGTAGCATCAGTCAACATGAAGTTAGTTGTATTGATAAAGAAGTTACACTTAATTTAATTAGTAAAGAAGTAGTTACTCATTTGAGAAAATCACATTTTAGTCAGATTCATATATGAACAATATTAATTGGAACAACAAGATTAACCAGAGCACAAGTAGGCACAAAAGCATTAGCATACATATATGATGATAGATGGGATAATCACCAACAAGCAGCAATAACAACTGCTGAAGTAGATTTAAGTTCAAACTTAGCAGTCATAGGATGTATTCCAAATTATGTTATGACAATAAATGAATTTAGTAAATATATTAAAGTAAGCATAAGAACAAAAAATTATAATATGAAAGGAGAGTATAAAAATTTGTGTATTAGCTTAATGTATATTGGTAAAGTGTCTGATAGATATAATCATAAGTTTAATTTAGAATTTTAAAATTTAGTTCAAACATTTGGTAATTGTAAATATGATAGAAGCAAAACTCGTAGATAATAGCTTTTTAGAAGGAACTCAGTGGACATTACCTAATTTACAAATAGTAAGAAATAGACAACCAGATAAAGTACAAATATATGAACTAGTACAGGTCAAGCAACAATTAGGTTTAGTGATTACAAGCAACTAGAAAAAATAGAAGAGGATGAAAGTGAGATCGAAAATGAGGGTATTCATATGACTTTTAATAATTTAGATATTAATTTAGTTAAGCAAAATTTTGATCATATTGTAGATAAACTTATAGAAGATATTGATCATTTAAATAGAGAACAATATTTAGAAAAATATAAGACAT